ATGGACTTCTACCAGGTGGTCGTCAATCGACAGTCGTCTATGCAATGAATTCTCAACTATTGCAATGTAGTTATGAAAGTGTATGACCTTACTTCAATCTGATTAGCTTAGTTTTATAAATTACGAGACAAAATAGCCGTTTTTTTTAATTTTTATGTGAATATACAAACGTGTTCATAATTGAGACTTCATCAGTTGAGGTGGTTGGGATATGTGTTACGTATGCCTAACCACCGACTGCCTCGTCGAGCTATGTTTTGCAATGTAGGAATAGCTTGGAAAAAAAATCGGGCGGCCAAATCAAAACATGGCACAAATCCATGAAGTCATTGACAAGTGGACTGAGTCACGTCGGTAGGCGTAGGCTATCTGGTTGGGGTCCGCGAGACGAAAGTCACCAATGGTTAGAGACCTTGAACGACATGGCTCAGAATCGTTTGCAATGGCGCAAGTGCATCTATTCTTTGAGCTCTCTCAAATCCTAATCTTCTGGATTCGTCAGCACATCTACCTTTGTCTTTCTAACCTTATTTCACTTAATTAAACTTCTTGAATGATATCTTCGAACCCTAATCTTCTCCATTACTGCTAATACTTCTACTGCCTCTACTACTATGGGATTTGAATTGACAATTGCGTCTCTGTGCTAACGTGGTATGGCAACTTGAACTAATGTACGTACGTATGTACAAAATTCTACGTTGTAACTGACTGACTGACTGACTGAAGTGTTCATCTCAACAATTTTGAGCCGTTCAACATTTTTTTCTCCATATCTTAAAAATATTCCATAATACTTATTCACATTTTACTTTTTTCTTTCATTGTACAGAGTACTTGCACCTAAAACCATGCCTAACATACACATGAATCAAGTTGCTTTCAGTTCATCAATACAGAAAACACCCACCACACCTTTTCATAATCATATGAATACTACTAATCGTACACCACAACAAACATATCGTTCTACTAATCAAAGACGTGCTGTTCATCGAAATAGTGATCTAAGTGAATCTGATTCGGATTCAGATTCAATGCTTGCTAATAATCGACGCGTTGATAATTGGTCAAGTAGAGAAAAGTAAGTGTCAGCAAATGGTTTATTTTATTTTATATAGTTTTAACTGAGTATAAATCAAATTATCGATTGATAGGTGGTGAATGCTGAGATTGGAATGTATGCGAATATTGTATGTATATGGCATTTTTCATTGTCGAATTATAGCGATTATTAAGTTTCATTAAAGTAATAAATCGATCGTTGTTAGACTAGGCCACTATTAGAAACTTGATGGAAGCACTGGACGAAGCACTAGGACGAAACATCTGCCCAGTACTTCCCCGCCACCGTAGCTGCTACCTTGACGTAGTGGTCAGGCTTGCCTGTTGCGATATTGGTTGGAACATATGTTCCTGTAGGCTCTACCGAACCAGGCAGGTCGATTGGAGAACGATGGGACTGAAAGCGGTAACTCAATGTCTGAGGGCGAAGTCGTACTGCTGGCTGTAGAGGGGTACGGCGTCAGTAAGGTAATTTCTCTCGGACAACTAGCATCTGCCTTCTCTAAAGGAAGGAATGGATTAGAAAAGGTCGACCCTAAAAATGTCACACCTCAGCTTGCCTCACGAATTTCTGTCTCCGGCGGTAAGGCCACTTTAAAAAAATTCCCATTAAAAGGTCGTGTGTGACCAGCCTGCATGACATGGCTCAAAACCTCATCACATTTATCTTTTTCTTTTTAAGTTTATTTCATTAGATTCTACTTCTTGAATAATATCTTCTTACCCTAATCTCTTCGATTACTGCTCAAACGTCTACTACCTCTACTACTACGGAATTTGCATTTCTGTGCAAATGTGGTATGGCATCTTGAACTGATGTACGCACGTACGTACGAACTTTTACGTTGTAACTGAGCGATCGACCAGTACTTCCACTGGGTTTCTAATGGTTGTCTGGTGTTAGACTAGACAACGATCGATTCCTTATCTAATATGGCCGGTTGTTTAACTATTGAATGAGTATTGCATATAGAGGAGCTCTAAATAACTACTCTAACCTTAAATATGAATTTGCTTTTATTAGCCCCTTTACTGAAATAGATTTATCAGTATCGCTAACTGTGATGTTATCTAACATGCGATTTCATAGTTCAAACTAATTGATTTTGAACACTCGATCAAATATGTGGCAATATTCATAAGGTTGTTTTTTTCATTAGTAATATCTGTATCCTAACTCGACTGGGGGTTTTATTGTTCGTTGCCTAAAATGAATTCCTTTTTCTGTTTATACTTATTTCATTATTTCAGTGTACCACTTAGACGTAGTGCTCGTCGTGTACGTGCTGTACGTCATGATCCTGATTTTGTGGTAGATTTTGATGAAGATGACGATGATGAAGATGTAAAAGCTGATGATTCTGATAATTTCGATCCAAATGATGAAATCCACGGCAGTTCAAAACGATATACCGGCAGTCAAAGACGTTCTCAAGTATCGGTTCATTTGAATGCTGCTAGATCAACAACAGCAAATCGTAATTTACCACAATATGATGGTGTGGGGGATACAACTGACGAAGAGGATATTGATGCATATGAAGATGAGGTGGAAGAGGAGGTGGAGGAGGAGGAGGAGGTGGTTGTTGACGACGACTTGGAGGATGAAGAGATGATGGAGGATTATGTTGATGAGTATATTGATGATGATGACGATGATGATGGTTGTGATGTTGATGACGATGGCGGTGAATATTATTATGACAATGATGAATTAGAAGAAGACGAAGTGATTGAAGATGACGATGAGGAGGATAATTACGATGATGATGATGATGATGATGATGAATATTATCCAGTTTTCTCTAGAAAACGAGAACTTCATTTAAAATCAAAACATTCAGATGAATCAACTAAATTGTCAGTGATCAAATTACCTTGTTCAACAAATTCAATTAAATCTGATAGTGTTCCCGTGAGTTTTTACTCTTCTTTTTTAAAAAATGGATTTATCAGTTGAGGTGGTTGGGACATATGCTGCGTATGCCTAACCACCTACTGCCTCGATGAGCTTTGGTTTGTAGTGTAGGAGTAGGTTGTAAGAAAGTTAGGGGCGGCCAGACTAAAACGTGGCAGAAATCCATGAAGTCACTCTGACAAATGGACTGAGTCATTTCGGTAGGTGTAGACTACCTGGTTAAGGGTCCGCAAGATGACAGTAACCGATGGTTGAAGAGAACTTGAATGACATGGTTCAAAATCATTTGCAATGACACAGGTGCATTCATTAATTGTGTTCTCTCAAATCCTGACCTTCCAGATTCTTCAGCACCTCTACCTTTGTCTTTCTAACTCTATCTCACTGAATTATACTTCTCAAACCACATCTTCGAACCCTATTCTCTCCGACTACTGCTAATACCTTTACTACCTCTACTACTACTACTACTGGATTTGTATTAACATTTACATCTCTGTGCTAATGTGGAATGAGAACTTGAACTGATGTATGTACGTACGTACGAAGTTCTACGTTTCTGTTGATTGATTAATTGACTTTACGGGGGATCAGTGATTAAGAAATTCGATTATATTGTTATTATTATTCAAACACAATTATAAGTACAAAGGTATGTACTTCATTATTTATGCGCAAAACTAACCAATCAATTTGCATGTTGTCCGTTGTACTCCTACCCGTCTGCTCAAACTGAATCTAATGGTTTTCTTAGGGACCACCATTCCTCAATCCCCTTTAACACAGAAATCTAATCCAAAAAATTGTGGAGGAACGTTTGGGGATGTAAGATCTACATAAATCACTTGGAAAATGTCCTAATGTTTACGCATGTACTGATCAGTTGACCTCAAGATTACATTAACCTCGTCGGAAAATCCTTGACTGTTGTTGGTTGATGTATTATTTTAGTTCGCTATTTTTGTGGCTCTCCCAAGGACGTTTCTATCATGTTGTATAAATAAACTCGATTTGTGTGCTTGTGAACCTTATATTTTCTGAGTACTTGTAGAATACACTTTCTACGCCTTACCAAGACTTCTTGATATAGTTTGGCTGAGCCTAGGGCAACGGATTAGAATAGCCAATCATATCACTACATCATTTGTCTTCGCTCTCATTTACCGACTAAGGTTTCAATTGACGAGCATATCACTATGCAATCCCATTGTAACAGTCTAAAAACTGGTTTATTCTTTGAAAATATCTCACTAACAATAATTTACCAAGCATTGAGTTGATTCAATATTGATCCATGTGTCTTACTAAATACGCAGTGTTAAAAATTGAAAAGAAGGGTTAGTAGCTATTTTCTAACGATCTCAACAATGAATTGTCAATTGAAATCCCTTAGTAGTAGTAGAGGAGGTATTAGTGGCAATCAAAAAAGATTACTGATCGAAGATAACTTCCGAAAAGTATAATATCCCAGTAGAACCGATTTCAAAAGAAGGGAAAAAATGTCATCAGGAATTTAAGGTAACATAAAGAATGAATACACCTGCGCCATTGTAAACGATTTTTTAAACCATATCATTCAAGCTCTCTCCAACCATCGGTTAGTATCATCTTACGAACCCTTAACCAGGTAGTATACACCTACCAACATGACTCAGTCCACTCGTCAGTAACAAATCTATGATGAAGTCACTGACAAGTGGACTGAGCCATTTTTGAAGCATTAAAGTTTACCGAGAATTTATGTAAGTGTATCTACCATTAGCAGCTTCTCATCCACTAATCGGAGCGCGTACATATGAGAACTGTATCCTGTTAACAACACATGATCATTTCATTTTTTACACTGTGTGCTCCTAGGTGATTTTTTTTCAACTTCCTCTTTTTGAGACGATGGTTGTAGCGGCTTAGAATAGGGATTTATATGCGTCTGTGTGTGTGTGTGTGTGTGCGCAGAATAGTGTGCACAATCATCTCATTTTAATCGTTATACTTTTAATCTCTCGCTCTCTTTCTCTCTCTCTCTCAATATTTAAGGTTGCACCGAAAGTGGTGATTTTGAAAAATAATACTTTACAGTATATTCAAGGAAATACTACTACTACTACTACTGGCAATACTACTGTGAAAAATAAAGACAATAGTAATAATAATAGTAATAATAATACTACTCCACGAATACTTTCAATTCCTGCCAGTGCAGCAACATCTGGTCAACAACGTATTATTTTACCGGCTAAACTTAATAAAACATCAACTATTACAAGTGAAACATCAACAATGTTGAGCAAGGTAAACTCTTCTTAATGTTTATTTACTAAATTGATTGTTAATGCCCTTGTTGTATTCATTATTCCAGTGAAATTGTATATCACTCTGTTGTTGTAACGCTTGCTTAGAATAATTATTCCCAGCTAATTCCTATTGCTTAGTAGTATTCTCTGACCACACAATACCACTGGACAAGTTTCAAAGAAATAGAAAAACACGGTGGAACAGGAATTGGATTATATTCCAAATAGTAAGGTTAAATGGAAATAAGGAGGCGAAGGCGAAGGCAAAATAGATACAACGTTAGATTCTTTATAGCATTTACATGAGAAACTTGTGGATAGTAATTCACGTGATCGACTGGATTAGATTTAACCAATCAGAGTGCGGCTAACAACACGCGAATTTTCTATCCTGTTCTCCAAGAATCGATCAGGCGCTGATTGGATAGCAAAATTAACCAATCAGCGCGCATCAAACGAAGTCATGCTTCAAGAGCACCAGAGTTGATTGGTGGTCGAGAAATGCACCAATCAACTTATTTCAAAATATGAATACTACTAATACTAATAATAATAGTAACTTGATCATTATAATGAATTTTTTGTTACAGCAAGTAATTCACAGCATTGTGACTGCTCAGTAATTCACACTATCTATCTTTGTGTTATATGCATCCAAACTGTAATGATGCAATACTCACAGTATTCTATAATTGTTTCTCAGTAGTAGTCATTCAGTGTGTCTATGACGCAAGTGTTTTGTTGTGTCAGCTAAGGTGGTGGTACCGATAGTTTGTTTTCATTCAATCATAGTGGTGGATTGGTTAGTCGACCGTTGACGACATCGTGACACTGATGTTTTCTTCACAATTATGTAAATTACGTCCCTATTGAAAAGGGTAATTTTACATTTGGTTTACTGCAGTATCAAGGAGACTGTCCATGGGGTTAGCATTTCGACATGAACGGTTCGGTTCAATACCGTGGTGCAACCACACAAGGTAGTACCTGATACCCTGGTGGACCATTCACACTATTTCTATACACTAGTACATATATAGTGATTATTTTCAATCCATGGTCGTGTCAATTCGACTCATCCCGCTTACATGACTGTCAAACACATTATTGTTAGCAATGGTGATATGCAGCAATACAGCATCCAAATGACAATGACCCTAGGGAATGTTACAGTATCAGTAAAATCGACCATCCTGCCAACCAAATTTGTGTATGGACTGTTAGCAATACTTACCAGAGCAATGTCAAGCCATCCACACTGTTCACAGTGAACCTATGGTTTCATATGAAACCTTAAGCTCTATATAACAGTATCTTATATGGTATACACATAGCATGGCATAGGATAGCTAGAGATGCAACCCAGCTTGATGTAAATAGGGGCTCAAACACTCTTATACTACCCTTTGTCTCATGTTGGGTAATGTGATTTTTTCGCATTACCGAAATTTTCATTTTTCGACCATATAATGAGATCTGAGTTAGGGGGTAGTATCCCAGATAAATAATCGATTCATTGCTAGATATTATTGATATTCATTTTTTTTCAGGTGAAAATGATGATATCTGTTGAGAGTAGATTGCATTTAGTTTTTTTTCTTTGAAAAAGTTTCACTTATCCCCTTACTCACTTGATATATGTACGCATCTCAATTCGCTTAACGTTACACATTCGATTGCATTGTTTCTAACTTTATTTGATTATCTATCCAAGTCTAGAGTTTCCTGTTTTTTTTAACTCCAACTACGTAAGATGCTGATGATAAACATAATCTCTCAACTGATTTGACTTTTTCGTATGCCTAGATCAAAAATCAGAAAATCATGGTACTCACTACTAAATAAGTAGTATAAAAATATTATCGATAAAAAAACGTTCAGCAGTACTCATTGTAATTACAAAACTAACCCTTTAATGCAAACATAGTTTAGCTATTTGACTCGCGATCAAAGATATAATGTATTTTTTAGCTCTCTCTCTTTCTGTGTGTTTGTCATTCAAACATGTGAGTTTATGCCCTAATTGATACCTACATACTTACTTTCGCCTGTTACCCACAATGGAGCATAGCCCTCCAACCAACTCTGTCCAATTTTTGTTCATTCTTCTCATGTCTTTCTCTATTGCCCTAATTGATGCTTATAATTTAATTGCCAATAGTTTTATTGAGTTGACATTTATTTCTGTATACATGTTTTTACAGATTGGTATGAGTTGTAAATACGTTCTTCTTTTCCACTTCTCCACTTTCCACTTAATTTAGACAATAACATTAGGCAACGTGAAGGAAGCTGTTGGTCAAGCTCTTAATCTGCCTCTTCCTACTACTACTACTAGTCAACCATCAGTCAATATGCCTCAAGGTCTACGTCTAGTAAGAATTGTACGTAATCCTGATGGTGGAACTAATATCATTCCAGTATGTGCTACAGATACTATTCTACCGTCAACACAAGAGCTGTCAAATGTCAATCAAACTGTAGACAATTCAAGTAAGATATTTCTCTTAAACGATGTTTAGTTGAATCGTTTTGTTAGTTAGCGTTTTTTTAGGGAGTTGATTTTTTGCGGGATGAGGTCTCTGACCCCATGCTCAATCTTCGTCCTTTATCCAGGTTTGGGACCGCCTGAAGGGGCTCCAGGCGGAATTCGATGTTCGTGTTTGATAAATAAAGTTGTTTCTTTGTTTCAGAAGAGAACTCTTTTGAGGAATAATATTTTCTTAGTTAAAGTGTTATGAGACTATTATCTCTAGTAAACCGATATCATGATATATATATATTCAAATAATTGGTCCATACAGCGAATTTTTAACTGACTATAATCATTGATTAGTGACTAATATAATGTATGTCTAGTTCTTGAATACTGACAGAATTCGATCGATCAGGGTTTTAGTATAGTTGCAAGTTTGATTGATTCGATTTGGTTGCAAGTCATAGAGAGAAGATAGTAGTGATTAAGGGGTGGGTAAAGGATTTGATTGTGAGGAAGTTAGTCTCCTGTGGTGTTACTAGTACTGATCGCGGATGTAACTTCTCGGCTGCAAATACCGTAGAAGAGTGTTTCTTGAGGACCTTGGTCATTCACGGCTTTTTTTATGAGAAGCTTTTAAAATGTTAGCTCCACTCTTGTTTAAAAGGCCTTACCTCCGGAGATGGAACTCCGTGGGGTAAGATGAGGTGTGACATTTTTAAGGTCAACCTTTTCTAACCCATTCCTTGTGAGAAGGTAACATAGCTGAAGATGCTGGTTGTCCTAGTAAAACAACTATCCAAAGTCAGCAGCACGATTTTACTCTCGGACCTTATGTTGTTACTTTTAGTCTTATTGATAAGACGTTGAGGAACATGTATCAGTCAAAATGCCTTGGTTGGGCGTTCACAATAGGCTACCACATCAAGGTAGTCGAGGATATTGGATATTCTTTGTTGAAGATGTTAAGTAGTTGTCAGGAAATGTTGTTTGCCTCATCCCAACCAACCAACCACCTGTGTATAGTAAATATATAAAATCGTTAAATGGTTGTGATATTTTCTAGTTACAATAAAACTTGAAAAATTTATTGAAAGTTATTTGTACTGAGGTTACAAATAGTTATTATACATTTTATTTATTTATTCAAACCCCTTGTAGTAATAATTAGTCAATCAGGTGTTAATAACGCAACTAGTCAAAGTGATCCTGTATCCTCATTACCAACTACAACCAAATCGAATAATCCACTCGATAATGGTGACAGTCAATTAGTAGTATTAAGTACATCATCAAATACCACTAGTCTTATTAATAATGTTGTTAGCCTATCAAAACCATTGGCTGTCACAACAACAACAACAACAACAACAGGAGCAGCGGAGTCAAATGAATCAAAGGTAAGTTTATTCCGCTATCCTTTATTGTTATTTATATATATCAATCAGTCCACCTAGCAGCTTGTTTCGGTTAGTTGTATAGATCACTAGCCATTCAGATCAAGTGTTAATTGTAACTCACAGTCGAGTACACATAAATACATGTACTTGGTAGATGTGTTGCATTAAATTGGTTTTGCACTGCAAGGGTTGTTGGGATTATCCAGCTTGAACTAATATATCGTATATTGACTTTGATGTTAGACGACAACTAACAAAGCTTGAAGAAGCAATGGATATCTGTTTTTCTTTTCCTTATGATCTCTTGATTATCATGTATGAAGCTGCAGTTAGTGGAGTTCATCTCTATATATGATGTGAAACAGATGACAGCAACATCAGTGAATGAAAATAGTGAAATATCACGAACCAACTAAATTTTATGTGGTTGAAGTAAATTTTCAGTCACTCAGTCAGCTACAACGTAGAACATCAGTTCAAGTTTGCATACCAAATTACCACACATACAAATCCTATAGTGATATAGGTAGCAGCAGCGTTGACGAGAATCGAAAAGATTAAAGATCGAAAATATGTCTTGAGAAGTACATCCCCGTGAAATAAATTTTAAGAGAGAATAGGTGATAAGGAATTCAGAAGATTCGAATTTGAAGGAACACAGAATAGATGCATCAGTAGTGCCATTACAACCGATTTTAAGTCATGTTATTCAAAGTCTTTTACTATCAGTTACTATTGTCTCTCGGACCGCAACCTGGTAGTCTACATTTATTAACGTGGCTCAATCTAATTGTCAATGAATTCATGAACTAGTGCCATGTTTTGGTTTGGCATCCACTGGATTTCCTCTAACCGATTCAAACCTCTGTATCGGTGTCGAGACACCAGGCCATTAGCACTGACTAAACTTCATAGATAAGTCAAGCGGTCGACAAGTTCAACTACTTCATTCTCTATCACTAGTTCAAGTGTCGACAAAAACCAACATTTTGTTTATATTCGGAAGAAGAGAATCGCTTCCTGAACATGCTGGCATTTTTAGCTGAAGGTGCTTAAAAGACTCTCTCAGTATTTTTTCAACGTTTATTGTATTATAAAAAAAATTAAATGAATAATGACTTTATCATTGTGTTTCGTTTGTGTTTTCGAGCGCAATTATCTTAACAAAATTACTATGTAGCGCTCAATTTGAACTGTTATGATTTTAAGTATATCTCAAAAACTAGTGTAATTTTTACAAATTTGTAGAGCTTCCTAATAGAAACATATACATTCATATAATATCGTTCAAACACTTCATAAAGGATGAGGTATTTGGGGGGGAAGGGCTTGATATCCGAGACAACAGTCTTGAAAATGGCCTCTCAGATGCTAGAATTCCCTATCACCACAGGAATCTGCAACCACAGAGAATTGTCTGTTTCATTATTGCAAGTCACAGAAACAGAGGATCATCACAAAGAATGTCTATTATGAAATATACTATGTTATAGCGATGAATATTACCGATCTACTCATCTAAATCTTTTCTGATTTATTTGTTTAACTACACTAATATAACTTACTGTTAGGATATTCATCCAATATCGTAAGAGAATTATAGGTTGACTCCTATTGGTTAATTTCTACTGGTCAATGTCACGTGCTCACGTGTTGTTTCTCATTGGTCATCCTGACTATCACTGTCACTTCAAATGTTGTTTTCTATTGGTCGTCTTAACTGTCAATGTCACAGACTTCGATGCTGTTTTCTATTCGACCAAAATGTACAAATACGCATTATCTGTATCGTTTTATGACCCGGTCCCGAATCCCTAGTCCGGGATCCTGATTCGCTTCTGGACTCGGACGTCGTATTTTCTGAATGCTTGTAGAATACAGATTCTACTTCATATCATGTGTTCTTATTTTTACTCAATATGGGGGTTGGGATAATCGGACTCGAGTAGCATGTCGTGTCACCGGATCCTCGATCCTCGCTCTCGTTTTTTCCGACTAGGTAAACTCGTAATAATAATCCAAGCATATCAAGTTGACGTGTTTACATGCAGGTGTAACACTTACTTAGAATTCGTTTGTTTTTTTGTTTTTTTTAAAAAAAATACTGGCATTTCGTTCACTTTATTTTCAAGCCGGTCACTACCAACACTTCATTCGTGTCTATCTCAATCGAAAATGAGCCACAACAACAACAGCAACAACAACCAATTACTATATCTACAACTAGTCTACAACAATATGGTATACGACTCAGTGATTTGATTACTCCTGCTACTTTGTCGAGTAGTAGTAATAGTAGTACCACTACTACTATATCAATTCCTTCATTAATCAATCAACCAGCCACTGTAAATATTGCAACAGTTTCAAAATTGAAACCTCCATCGGCTAATTCTGTACGATTTGTGATTGCACCGACAATTAATACCTGCACTACAAGTACTACTGCTAGTAGTACTAGTAGTAGTAGCAGTAGTGGATCATCGACCAATCCATCAAATCTAATGCCTACAATTACTATAGTTAAAGCACCAAGTCAATTAGGTGAGTGAATTTTTTTCTTGTTGTGTGTTGCCTTTTGAATGACATTTTATGAATAGTTTTGTCACTTTCATAAACAAACACAACTCTATTGACTTAACATGTTCTGTGACCTAATAT